ACTGTAGTTTATTGTTGCTCCCGATGAACTGATTCTTGGCATATGAGGGTGTGAGCCTGTCCATGCTGATCAATCTGGCCAGGTCAGGCGTGTCACTTTAATCTGTGTGTGTTTGTGTGTATGACTGATTTGGGGACTGGAGGAACCCAGCCCCACTGAACTGACTCCTCTGCAAGATAGCTCCATTGGGGGTGAGGACTTGCAGAAGGGAGACATACAGCTGCATATAGAACACAAGTAACACAAGCAGCACGTTGACAGAATTACCAAGACCCTAGAAACGTATCCCTAATAAATGAGCACACCCCAAAGTAATGGGCAAATCTGGTAACAGTAAGTATATATAACTATCAGGGAAGGGGTCCCAGCAGTATCCCTTAAGAAGTTTATACATAACACTCTATTAAACAACTAATAAACAAAGTTAAAATGTCCACAAAATATAAGGTGCAGTGTTACAGACTAGGAGGCACTCTCCTACAAAGTATAAGGTGCCTCAACAACTGGTTAGCTCAAACTTTCCCGAGGATAAACTACCTCACAGCTGGGGTAGCTCCCCTCCCCTGTGGGAATCCTTTCCCCAACAGCTCATGACTCCATGGCCTGGATGGGCTGTCCTCGTCCTGTCATCCGAGTTGCTCCTCATGGGCATGGCCTCCTAGGCCACTGACTCAGCTGGGGCTGCCGCTTGCAGGTGGCCCTGTGCACCATCGCATGCACTGAGAGCTTTGCCCTCTGCTGTCATTGGAGGCCTGGGCCACCTTGTGTGGTGCCAGGGCTCAATCCACCCCCAGACCTCCCATGCAGAATCACCTGCACCAAGCCATTAGTCTCGTGCTGGTGGCTGCAAACCCAAGCCACCTCAAGCGGTTCCCAGGGTCTAGCTCTGTGCAGCACCATCTGTACCAAGTTCCCTGGCTGCTTGCCAGGGATCACAGACCTGAGCTGCCTCAAGCTGCTCCCAGGATCTCAAGCTTCATGCATCCCTGCTTGTACCAAGGTCCCAGCCACTTGCCAGGGGTTGCAGACCTGAGCTGCCTCATATAGCTCCCAGGGTCTGGGCTTCATGCACCGCTGTGTGCACCAAGGTCCCAGCCGCTCACTGGGGGTTGCAGACCCAAGCTGCCTCGAACAGCTCCCAGGGTCGGTGCTCTATGCACTGAGCCATGCACCAACACTTCATTCCCCACAGTGGGGCTGGGGACGCAGCGGCTTGCCACTCCCACTCGCAAAGAGATGCCTTTGGGCTCTTCAAGGCACTGGTTCTACCCGCTGGCCAGCTCACACCAGCTTTTCTTTGCCCATCCTCTTCTCCATCCCTCGATGTGTCTCCCATGTGCTGGGCACACAGCTCCTTTTATTCACTCCAGAGGCTCTATCCCAGAGTGTTGTTGGACCTGCAAAGAGCAGGCTACAACCAGATCCAGGGCTCTCCTCGCACTCTCTCTCCCCCCACCCCCCCAGCAGGGGTGGGGCAAGCCCCGTCCCAGCATTACCTGATTGGTGGTCATGCTCCACCAATCAGAATGAAAATTCTCCAAGCCCAGGCGTGCCAGGGTATATCGGTTAGTCCGCCACATGAGATTTTTGAGATTGGTGCTTTCCAGCACTTCTTTTTATGCCTGAGGGCTAGAAAGGGCCAACACATTGATATTTTCTGTACTGTATATTTAAATAAGTTGGGTGGGGCTGGCAGTGGAAATGAGTTGTGTCAGGAACAAATGAAAACAGAAAAAGTTGGATATTTATTTCTCTGAAACTGCTGTTGCATTTTATAATCTGCTCCAATCAGGTACATACTTAAACCCTTTCTTTCCCCTGGAAATGGTACATATCCTACACCTGCAATGTGGACTGGTTTGTGTCTGTATAAATTGGATAACAGGGATTTGCTGTTAGTGTTAAACTCCCACTTGTTCAGAAACCAGATATTTGATAATTATAAACAGGTGCTTCTATAATGCATTAGTCTCTGCTCATTAAGCAGAGAAGTGGTTTTACACTGGATCCTGCAGTTAGTCAGGTAAAAACACTTCTGCAGTAGAAATTTTCATACATCTTTATTTAGCAGCCGCATCCTCTACTAAATTCAATTACGTTAACTGCACTTTGGATGGCAAAGGGGCACTAAATGTATACAGATATAATGGAACTGGAAATGTGAGTTTCTAATTATGACTACAACCAAGGATGACCTCTAAATGAAGGTACGGGGCCAAATTCTTTATTTCCTTTTACTTCATTCATTGTCACCAACAGAATTTTTTCTAGTACCTCCTGTTGTGCTCTCTGCATTTCTGGATGCAAGTATCCTTATATGAAGTAATGAACATATGCAATAGAATTGGTTTCTATCCACTTTTTATAACCTCTGAGCTATGTTGGCCTTACATAGGTATCATTTACCACAGGCATAGTGTACCAGTTACAGAGCCAAATAATCACTGCCAAACTAATACAAATCCCTGCAGCAGCAGAGCCATGTTGCTTTCAATACTACGTTTTACTTTCTTTTTTTTTTTTAGAGAGAGAGACATTGAGGTGATAATAAATTGAGACTGCATCCCAGAGATGGCCCTTAATATTTAGTTATCTGAAAACAGAGTCTTGATTGGAAGTTTTAACTGCATGTAAAATTAGTAATTTGTTTAGAGCTTACAGTGGAAATTAAGTCTGTATATGTGACACATCAGTAGTTGCCATAATTCAAGTATGTTTCCTGCCTAGCAGCCAACATTGTACATTGTAAGAGACCACATACACCAAGCTGCCTTTATTTATTTTAAAAGCTTTCTTCTTAAATCTATAGCTACTTTATTCTGTGTGAATGCATCATTAGAAAGGATATTGCACATCTTTAATAATAGCCAACACTGTTAAGATAAGAACAGCAGTTAGATTCCTTAGGCTTTGCTTAGTAGTGAATGCTTTGTTAGCCTTTAACCAATGCAAAATTTCTCTGTGAAATGTAATTTACCAAGCAAGGAGCAAATCTGAAGAGTTTCTAACCCTGTCGAATTGCCACTGACCTCTTTGCTGTTTTTAATAACATCAGTTGAATTCTTCTTTTTTGGTACTTTGTCCCTTTTTTGCTTTTGTCACTCCATTGTCTCTGGTTCTTTCTCCCTTTCTGGTTATTCCTTCAGCATCCTCCTCAATATGCTGGCTGCCACCCTCTGTCTCTGAGCAGGGTTTTTAGAATTGGAAACTTAAACACATCACAGGCATCAGAATCAGTGTTCATACAGGCTGAAGTGTTTGTCTATACTGCTGCCACAAAAGTAACTGCCCAAACTAGCTTGGAACAAGCTAGCTTTATTAACAGCACTCTAGCTGTGGCAATACAGCTGAGTGCAGGTTACCTTACCCTTCTGTGAAGTGACCGCAGTGGAGATGTACAGCCCCATTATGGAGAAGCTCTTATCTTTAACAAGTGTTAAAGACATTTTAGATCAGGGTCCCATTTTGTTCAAGTCCTCAGACTTTGGAAAGGGATTATGTTTTACGGTCTGTTCTGGCCCTAATCATAAGGCACATCTACATGTGCATTTATGCACAACTAAATTTTTAATGTGCATTAAGCAGTTTTTGCAAGGTGTCTACACATGCAGAGACTTGGCACTAAAGTGACTACCAAGTCTCTGCAGCCTTGCCATGTGCCCTTACTGGCTGGGCAGACCTAACACTAAAGTTAGTGCCAGGTCACATCTATACATGCATTAATGTGCTTTCACTAATCAGGTCTAAATTGTATACCTTCATCTGAGTGGAACATTAACCAGTTTTCTGCTAGGCACTTCAGAGTTTCTACTTAAAAAAAAAATGGCTGTGATGTAGGGTCACACTTCACGTAAATGTGAAGGTTTAATTATGTGAAGAACTGATACCCAAGACACTTTTAATTAATGCCTTAAGTAAGGTATAAACCAGGACTCCAAAGATGAAAGTTCAGTGCTTGACTAATTTACTGTGTCACACATTCCCACTCAGCCACACTTTTAAGGGCAAGATCTTTGCCAGCTTCTTGCACATTCTTTGAGAATTATTCTCGTCACCTTAGAGATCCTGTATTATCAACATTAAAGCATTTTTCCAAGCACTGCAATATACTTTCATGTTAAAATGCTTTTAACTTGCTTAACTTCATAAGATCTGATTAAACCTTTTAGACCTGCAAATAGGCATTTTGCATATTGAAAAATGTAATCTCATACCTAAATCTTCATGCCTCCTGGGGTTTCCCACATGAAAGATATTGTACATTTTTTCAGATACTCCTGTATTCACCATGGAAGACTCTGATGATTTTGGTTGGGAGAGGAAATGCAGTTACTTTGCAACTTACTTACAGAACCAACACACTTCAGAGTTTCCAGCCTTATCAGAAAGTGTCAATCTTCAAAGGGGCTGGGCACAAACTAGTTTCAGTTACAGAGGCTGCTATCAGAATCTGATCCAATGTCAAGGAAGACAAAGGAAAGGTGTGCGTTCAAGTCAAAGTTTCACTTCGTTGGAAAGATTCTGCTGGTTCCAAAGGTGGCCTCTCTCTTTCTCTCTCTGAAAATGGAGCATCCCAATAGAACCATTCAAACTGATACGGCTGTTTACAAGCATTTGCTATAATACTTTCTCATCCTCTAAAATGGTGAATGCAAATTACCTGAGACTGAAACAGATTTCACTTTTTTCCTGGGAGGAAGCCTTTTGTCCTAGGATCTGCTAGACAGCACATGTCCATTATCCTGCTTCAAACACCAGTGAAGTGTGCAGGATAAAATGTGCTAATATTTTTTCATAGGATATCGTGGTTTGCATCTGTAAGCTTATTGCCAGGCACTCCAGCAAAAAGCCTGCCAAGCTGTGTGCTCTCGCTGCCGACCTACTGGCAGGGAAGCAGCAATGCAACTTGGAAAGGCTGTGTGTATAAATGATTGTGCCATTTCTCTTTTGAACTGAGTCAGAACATGGGACTGCTTTAAATAAGACATCTGTCTACAGCCGAAGAGCCATTGCAAATACAAAAGTACTGCAATTTGTGAACTGAGATGCTTTACCTCTGAGAACTGGGCTACTGAGTGAGTGCCTATGCTTAGACAACTGCCTTTGCAAATTTTGGCTTTGTTAAGGATGGATTCTGATACTCTTCCAGTGAGTATGTGCATTAAGCAGTAACTTCTGAATAGCAATTCTTTGAAAATACTGTCGATATGAGTATAAGTGGCACAATCTGATTGCTTAATGTATTAAGAAGACATGCATTAGAAAGCAAAGAGGAGGCTATCTTCATGGACTTGAATAATTCATTAACTCTAATATTATTTTATTTTCCTGGAAAATATAGATATAAATTATTTCTGTAAGATCCAGTTAGCAAATGAGAGCTGCAATATCATTTAAAGAGTGCCTTTCACTCTACCATGTGTTGTATATGTATAACTGCATCTGGCATTCAAGCAGAGATAAAAGTTTTCAAAAAAATAATCAGGGTCTGACTCAATCCTTATTAAGTGAATGTATCCATTAGTAATACCCTAAAGTAGCATACCTACTCATGTACAGTTATATATTATGGCACAGTTATGTTTTCTATACTTCAGGCAGTTTGCTTGCATCCAGTTGCCAACCTGAAATGTAAAGCAGTGAGAGGAAGTAAAACTTTCACAGGGGGTAATAAAACTAATGAAACATAACTTCCAATATAGTACTTTAGCTCAGCCAAAGGCTAAACACAACTGCTTAGTCCTAAAGATGAGAAAACTGAGCAAGCAATGTAAACTAGTAACACA